TTATCTATATCCATTTTTTTCCTGTAACAGACAGCATACCAGAGCCTAATTCAGAAAGCTGATTGAAATTTTATGTTCTGACCAAGAGCACTGTGTCATGCGTGTGGGAAACGAGAATGTGGTCTGTGTTCCTTATTCACGTAGGGCAGAACCAGCTTTACATGTCACTGTCCACTCAGGAACACATAGGGTATTTTAAATAGTGGAATTTAATACAGGAATTGGTTACATAGGTTTTGGAATCTGAGAGATTAAAAGCGGGACACCAAGGTAACCTTTTACGATCACGAAATATCCTTGGTTATTCTTAGTAATGATTTTGGTCTTGATTACTATTTTAGCTGATATTCTAGAAATTCAATGCGATAACAATCAACACATCCACACAGGCACGTGCAGGTGAATGGGCATCTGAATGAATATACTCAGCAGACACACTCCCCGGACCCTCCCTCCTTTCCACGTCTGAGGGAGTTGGGGGGCATGTTTCCCAGGTTCTGGTCTCCAGAGCCTGCATAAAGGGGATCCTGGGAGAGTGACAGCAGGGCCTGGCCTCCCTCCCTGGTTTCCCATGAGATGAAGCTGCAGCATCGCCCCTTCCCCAAAAGAAACCACTCTCTTGGGGGGGCGGGGACTCCAGTTCATGTACATCTGGTGGTTCTATCACAGGCAGTCCAAACGCCATACTGGAGAACTGGTGGAAACTTTTTGGAGTGGCTATGAGCACAGGGCCATCTACAAGGGAGACAAGAGTGTGGTTTATCTGGTCCCTCCAAACAGGTAAGGATTTTCAGTTTACCATATCAGCCCTTGATTTTAGAAGCATGAACGTGTGCACACAGAATTGTAATAATGTGGTTTCCTAAGAAAACTTTGAATTCTTTGGAAATAAATGACTCTGGACCTTTAATCTCTGTAGGATGGAATTTGTTCTACATCAATTGTGTTGCATTTTTTGGTAAACCCTCTCGCATGTCCCAAACAGAACTTGTTTGCAAAAGGTCCACAGGTCAACCTGGCTCCATGGGGAGAGTGGCCCTTCAGAGTTTGTGAGTCCTGGTTCCAAATCCTGGCTCCAAAACATCTCAGCAGAGACCTGGGTGTGCTACTCAATCTCCCTGAGGCTCAAAAGATGGTTTCATAAAGGGAGGATGTTAACACTTACCCCTTAGGGATGGGGAAGGGATGAAATGAGATAACATGTCAAACACCAGCATGGGGCCTGGCACAAAGGAGGTAGTTAAGAAAAGCTGTCTCCTTCTGAATAATCAAATGAAGAGCAGGATCCATTGAATCACTGAATCCTACACATAGTGAGACAGAAAGAGAACGTGTGGCGGTGGAGCACCCTGAAAGGTGAGCATGGAGCTCCCTGTCCTGCCCCTTCCCCTCCTCTTTCTGCTCTGCACCCTGATACCCTCCAGAGTTGAGAGTCTGTCTGTGATTCCCAGGTAAGTTCTTCACGTCCTTAAGCAACTGGGTCAACTACTCCTGGACTATGTACAATACAGACCCTGGCCCACGGGTATGATCATCAGTTCTGCAAAGGCGAAAGCTGCTGAACGGATGGAGTACATCCCTGTCTGGAAGGCAAGGTGAGCACTCCATCACTGATCTGCGATAGGTCCCCACAGGTGAGACACCTTTGGCACGATGCCTCATTTTCTAGGGTTCTGCTCGTGCTGGGGGTGAGGGGCGTTGGCAACATCAGTGGGGCCAACATGTTATTTGTCACAATATAAGTAGGAGCCACCACTTATTGAGTTCCAACTTGGTATGAGACGTTTTAAGTAATTTGGACTCATAAATTCTCACAGCCATCCTGCTAGGTTGATGTCGTTTCATACTTTTCCATATGAGCACCCTGAATTCGCCCAAACCCATGAAATCTAAGCTTATTGAGGCATCAGGATTTGAACACTGGGACATGTTTTCCTCCCGGCACAGCACTGTTTCCTTTGGGAACTGTGTTCACGAGGATGGTCAGTGGAGAGCCCAGAGGGCACACACTGACTAAGACAGAAGAGCTGGTTCTCACTCTGGTGCCCATGGACCAGCTGTGTGACTCCTGACAAGCTATTAGCCAGTCTGCCCTTCTTTATCTTTCTATCCCATCTACATCCCAGGGTTCTCACAAGAATGAAGTGTATGGGAAAGTGCCGGAAAACTGAGAGTGCTGCTTAAATGTGAGCCACTGTTATGAATGGTGTGTCATCCCCACAGCCCTGTGGGGGGATCAGAGAATGACTTATCATCTCTGTTCTACCGTGGAGGGAACTGAGGCTCAAACGTCACAAGAGGCACATTCTCCACTCTCCCTCCTGCCCTTGGTATGCACAAGGTGAGAGGATACAACGTCAGCACAAATAAAGCAGTCATATTTCTATATAACTGCAATAAACAATTCCAAACTGAAGTTAAAAAATACCATAATAACCCAAAACAATCAGATACTTAGTTATAAATCTAACAACACATGTACAGGGTCTGTATACAAAAACTAGAAGATGTTGATGAAATAAATAAGAGATACAAGTAAATGGAAAGACTTATTGTGCTAATGGATTGAAAGATTCAACATAAAAAGAGGTCAATTCTACCCAAGTTGTTCTTTAAATTTAATGCAATTCCAGCCAAAATCCTGCAGGATATTTCATAGGTATGGACAAGCTGACTCCACAATGTATATGAAAAGGCAAAGAAACATGAATAACTAAAATAATTTGGAAAAGAAGAATAAGGTTGAAGGGATTACATTACCCAATATCAAGATTTACTATAAAGATACAGAAGTCAAGTCAGTGTGGTATTGGCAAAGAGATGGATACACAGATTAACAGAACAAAATAGAGAGTCCAGAAATATGGCTACACGAATATGGCCAATTGATTTTTGACAAAGTTGCAGAAGTACTTCAATGAAGAAAGACAGATAGTCTTTTCAAAAATGTTATTGGAAGAATTGGACATCCATATACAAAAACAAAAAACAAATAAAACCAAAAAACTTCAACCTAAACTGCACATCATAATTAACAATTAGCTCAAAATGGATCATAGATCTAAATGTGAACTATAAAGTATAAAAAACTTAGAAGAAAACAAAGGATAAAATCTTCATTAGGCAAAGAAGTCTTAATATGACACCAAATGTACAATCCATAAAAGAAAAAAAATCGATGAATTGGACTTCATCAAAATTTAAAATTTTTTCTCTGTGAAAGAATCTGATTAGAGAAAGAAAAGACATGCTTAGACTGAGAGAAATTATTTACAAATTACATATTTGATAAATGACTTTTATCCAGCATATATAAAGAACTCTTAAAAACCAATGATAAGAAAACAACTCAATTAAGAAAGGGAGAAAGATCTGAACAGGTGCTGCACCAGAGAAAATACATGAATGGCAGATTAGCACATGAAAAGATGCACAGCATCGTTAGCCATTAGGGAAATATAAATAAAAACCACAATGAGACACCCCTACACACCAATGAGATGGACAAAATAACAAACACTGACAATAACAAGTACTGATGAGGATGCAGAACAACTGGAAATCACATACATTGTTGGTGGGGATGCAAAATGGTTCAGCCACTCTGAAACAATTCCGGGATTGGTTTGGCAGTTTCTCATAAAGTTAAACATGCATTTACCATCTAATCAATCAATCCTACTCATAGGTACTAACCCTAGAGAAATGAAAAGTTATGTTCACACAAAGACTTGTACGCAAAGGTTTATCATAGCTCTATTCATAATTGACGAAAACTGAAAACTAACTCAATGTTCTCCAGTGGGTCAACAGATAAACAAATTGCGGTACAATGGAATACCACTGAGTAATAAACAGGAATGGGTCACTGATACATACAGCAACTTAGATTAATGTCTAATGGAATTTATAACTTCCAAATCAGTATAAGAAAAAAAAAGGGAGGATGATAAAGAAGACTTTGTCAATCCAATAGCAAGCAAGAAAGTTGAAAATATAAGGAAAAGTAGCATGGTAAAGAGAAAACACAAAACAGGATGGTGTAAATAAAACCAAACATGCCAGAAATCACGGTAATAGAACCGTGGCTGGGCACACGGCCCTCCCGCCAGAGATCATGTCCAGCCTCCCTTGCTGACAGCGTGGCCCTGTGACTGAGTGCTTGCCCATGAGATGTGAGTGTGAACAGTGTGTTCCAATCCCAGGCTGGGGCTTGTGAAACCAGGTGCCTTGTCCACATTCTCTCTTTGCTTTCTTAGTGGCTGAAACCTAGACATGGTGGCGACTGAGTTTCAGCCACACAGACGATGCTGATGCCCTGGGAGTGGTGGGACGATGACTAGGATGATCCTGAAGGTCCTCGGGGAGCAGAGCCACCTCGCTGACCTGGACCATTTTCTCCTGACCTCGAGAAATAAATGCCTAAATTCTTTAAGCCACTGTATTTTTGAGTGTCTTTCTTAGGCTACAACACCTGCCTCCTGGTCTAGGTCCTGAAGGAAGATGAGCCAGATCCCAGGCTCCTGGTGGAGGGAGGTGCAGAGTTTGAGGATCCTTCACACTCTGGTGCCTTCCCTCTGCAGTGGGGCCCAAAGCCCCTGCAGACACAGGCTCATGGCCCAAGAAGTGAGCCAGGCCTGACACAGTGGTGACAAGTGGACAGTCTAAGGAGAGGAGGAGAGCGAGGCCATATTGTGGGGTCTCAGGCATAGTCTGGCCCTCCTCTTCTCTGGCCGTGCTCCTGGATCCCTCCTCAGTGGTGGACACAGTAGAGCTGGACACTACCACTGATCCGGAGCTCCCTCAGCCGCTCCAGGGCCCCCTGGTCCAGGCTAGTGGCTCCCAGGCCCTGCCCATTGAGTGCCAGCTTCAGCCCTCCCACCTGGCACAGGAGCAGCACCTGGAAAAGAAGGGATGAGGTGCTGCAGCCTTCCAGACAGACCCTCCACCACCTGCCTGATGCCCCACCCAATGAGCCTCTCCTCCCCTCAGAGGACACAAACACTAGATGAACGTGGTAGAAAAGAACAGGACTAGGGGCCCTGCTTGTCACCAGCCCACTCTGACCTTCCACAAGGATCTTCCCAGCCCTAGGCCTCAGTTTCACCAACTCTAACAGGGGTTGCTTCCCCTGGAGGAGTGGTTCTCAACCCTGGCTGCACATTGGAGAGTCATTAGGGTATTTTTTTTTTTTTAATAATGCTGTTGCCAGGGCCCGCCCGATTAATTAAATCTAGGTTTCTGGTTGTGGGATCCTTGGTGCCAATGTGGAGGGTTGAGAGCCATGGCATGGGTGTTCTCTACCCCAGCAGGCTCTGGCTCCCCCAAACCCCCAGTGACTCCCAGTCTCCAGGATGGGAATGCAGCTCTATGCTCCACGCCTGAGGGACAGAGGGACGAGGCAACTTGTCTTTGACCAACCTCGAAGAATCGCTGGGGGTAGAAGAGGAAGGGGGCTGAGATTAGCTTCTTCCGTCCCCAGGACGAGACCCAGGCCAGAGTTCTGTCTGCGAAGGAAGCCCTGAGTGTCACTGGAACGTGGGCAGCCTCATCTCTCAGGCTCAGTGTGAAGCTGCAGAAAGGTAGAGAAGGGTCTCAGCTTCTGTAACCCCCAGGCTATGGCTCCCTGACTCCTCTGGGCTGTGGCTGCTGGGCCCTGAGGGGAGGATGGAGATGGGAAAGCAGCTGGAAGATTTGGCAGATTCCCCCCAAAAAACAAGCCCTTGGACATCTACCAGCTCAGAGGGGTGGAAACCCCCCATGGGGTCTTAGGCACACCTGAGATGACCTGAGATTGAATCTCCACATTGCCACCTGTGGGCTGGAGGACCACGGGGGAGCAAATTACCTTGCCTGAGCCTCAGCTTCCCCTCGTCAAAATGGGGATAATTATGATAATAGTAGTAGCTAACATTTGTTAAGTGCTAACTGTGTGCCACGTATTATCTTAAGGGTTTTGCTAATAGCATAGGGATTAGAGTGAGGCTGCCTGGGTTCAACCTTGCTCTGCTACTTTCTAGACATGTGACCTGCTGTCTCTGTGCCTCGGTTTCCTCATCTGTAATGTGGGGATAACAACAGTGCTGTGCCTATCTTGTGGGTTATTGTCAGAATTAAATGTGTCAACATGAGTAAAGGGCTTAGAATAGCACCTGGTATATAATACTCACTCAAATCACACTTATTTTAAAAAATATATTATCATATAATATGCTACTGTGGAAACTAGTAAAAGAAATCTTAACTAAATAAGCCTTGGGAAGGCCTGTAGGCGGAGCTGCCACACCCTATCACACATCATCAATTACACCAAACAGGAAGAGAGGGAGACTTCCATCTTGGACAGAAGTAAAACTACTTTACTGCTGAAGGAAGACTTCTCTCCCAACCTGGCAACAGCCCAGCCAATGAGAAACGTGCAGCTCAGCCAATTAGAAGCTATTTCTGCCCTGAACTGTTATTTTCCCCCAATGGAGTTTGGTTTAGAACAGCCCCTCCCTACTCCCCCCTTTTCTCTGTAAAAGCAGCTCCCCTCCTTTGTTTGCTGGATTTGCCTATGGTTTGCCATAGCATGCACGTCCTGGATTACAATTCTTTTGGTTATTCCCAAATAAACTCATTTTGAGGTAAAATAACAGGCAAACTTGCTTCTTAAGTTCACACTACCTACCTCATTGGGTCATTCAGAGGAACAAAGGAGATAACGTATGTGATCTCGCAAGTACCTGGCACAGAGTAGGTGTTTTGCTATGCTAGTGTTTGTTTTTCTGGAATCCTCACAGAAATCCTGTGTCATGAGGTTTTCAGCTCACTTAACTGATGAGGACAAGAAGTTAAACGATTTGCTCCATAACTAGTAATAGCTGTGGGGCTTCGGGCTGGGATGTGAACCAGAATTCAGGACTCCAGGTTTGGGTGGGTCTTTCTGCTGCCTGGCACCTGCCTCTCAAATAGGGCAGCCAGATTCTGTTTCATGTCTTGGGAGCTTCTGATGTCATCTTCTTTGAAACAACAGCCCCGAAGCTGTTGTTGACTGACTCCTCGGCAGGAAGTGGTTGAGAGTTGAGAGGAGACACAGGATGCAGATGGTGGGGCAAAGTGCAGAAAGGACCTGACCTGGGTGGGCCTCTCAGGGACTCCTGGTGGATCTGTACCAGGAGGACACTCTGTACATTTCCAGCTTTGGGAAGGAGATGGCAAGAGCTCAACACTGGGAAGAAGCTTGGAAGGCAGGGACCCTGGAGAGTGGACTTAAGGAGCCCCAAACTCCTTCCCCTCCCCTGGAAAGGCTTTGTCTTCCCATTGGCCTGAGAACTCTTGGAGGCCTCAGCATCCCCCCCACCTCAGCCCCATCTGCACAGTGCTCAGCTTGGAAATGGATTCCCTCCAGTTGCCCAGTGAAGCTCTTCGAGGCTACAGCCATATCCCCATATCCTCACTACTTGGGGGGAGAGGATAGAGAGAGAAGGACAAATTTTTAATGCAAATGAACCCCGTGCTCTCCAACTCTCACTCCTTCTGTCCTACTCAAGCCACTCTTGCTCTCAGAAACAACAGTAATCACAGCAGCAGCAGCATTTATCTCAGGCTTGCTAAGTGCCAGGCACTGTGCGAAGTCTTGATGCTGGTGGCCCATGGCTGAATGTGCCTGTAGAAAGGTTCTGGCTGGTCCTTCATATTCCCCAACTTTAAGTCACACCATATTATAAAATTGAGAGAGTTTATATAAAAGATTGCCTCCAGCTTCTCTTTTAAATCAATAATAAGATCTGGCAGTCGTGGGTCTATGGAAATATTCTTTCCATCTCACCACCTTCACAACCTGGTGCTTCACTATTTATGTGACCTTTCAGGCCTCTGAGGGCACGTGAATTCATGGCTCTCAAGAAAGAGCAGTTAAATTACTTGCTGTGAGTGGCAGGTGGCACCTGTGACCTGAGGTTTCAGGAACCACAGCAGAACCTGAGAGCCAGCCCCCAGTGGTTGCAACCCCTGACACTGGCTCTATCAGCAGTCAGGACTGTATACAAGAACCTGGGCCCCCAACAGGAAGTGTGACACCGTTGAACCCAGGGCCCTTGGCAGGTGTGCTGCCAACACCCCCAGATAACCCAGGAGCAGCAGTGTGGGTGGTTCACAGGGCAGCAGCACCTGTGGAGAGCAAGTGGGGGAACACAAGATGCAGGTGAGCCCGGAAGCAGTGGAAGTGCTCACAGCCTGGTGGCCCCAGTGGCAACAACTGCGATGGCAGCAACATCATAAACAGCAAGGCACCAGCAACCTCAGAGGCACAAGTGCACAAGGAGGGCATTGAGAACACCTCTGGCAGAGGCAGTGGATGGTGAAAAGTGCAGGCTCTCAAATACAACCAGAAGCAGCTCAGAAGCAAAGTAACCAAAGCCTTACCCAAATAAGAAAGGTGGTTATTACCACAAATATGCTGGTGCAGAATGATTTCGTCAAACACCATGAAGAACTAGAGTAACATGGCAGAACTGGAGAATGGCAGCTTTTCAGAAACCAAACTTGAAGTCACAGATTACAATCTGAATGACAGAGAGTTCAAAATAGCTGTCACAAGGAAACTCAATGAGTTACAAGGAAACTCAGAAAGAGTTCAATGAGCTCAGAAATAAAATTAATGAATGGAAGGAATACTTTACCAAAGAAAATGAAGCTGTAAAAACAAAACAAAACAAAAACAAAGACAGAAATTCTAGGGGTGAAGAATACAATTAATGAGATAAAAAATAATGTAGAAAGCAGAAAAAATAGAGCAGACCTTGTGGAGGAGAGAATCAGCAAACTCGAAGATAGAAATCTAGAAATGATTCGAGTGGAGGAGGAGAGAGAATTAAGATTTTAAAAAGTGAAGAAATTCTTCAAGAAATATCTGACTCAATTAGGAAGGTAACATAAGGATTATAGGCATCCCAGAGGGAGAAGAGGGGGAGAAAGGAGTAGAGAGCTTATTCAAAGAAATAATAGCTGAGAACTTCCCAAACTTGGGGAATGTAACTGGACACATAACTACATGACGCTAATAGAATTCATAATTTACTCAGTGTATAAAGACCTTCTCCAAGGCATATAATATTAAAACTGTCTAAAGTCAATGACAAAGAAAAAATATTAAGGTCCACAAGACAGAAGAAAATAACCTACATAGGAACCCCATCATGCTTTCAGTTGCTTTCTCAGCAAAAAACTTACAGGCTATAAGAGAGTGGAATGATATATTAAAAATACTGAAAGAAAATACTATCCTCAAAGAATACTCTATCCAGCAAAAATATTCTTCAGATAGGACAGAAAAATAAAAGTTTCCCAGACAAACAAAAGCTGAGGGAGTTGGTCACTAGATCTTACAAGAAATTATGGAGGGAGCCCTCCGACCTGAAACAAAAAGGCAAAGGTTTACAAAGCTTTGAGCAAGGAGATAAATAGACAGACAAAATCAGTAAATTGCAGCTCTATATAAGAATAGGTGAGGAAACACTTAATTATAATATAAAGGATAAACGGAAAGAAAGCACCAAAAATAGCTGTAAACACTTCAGTTTGTCACAAACTCACAAAACAAAAAAGAATAATTTGTGACAAAAAGAACATACAATGGGAAGAGGAAAAGAATGGAAGCTGCATAGGCTAATGAAGATAAGAGGCTATCAGAAAAAGGACTATCTCATCTATGTGATCTTTTTTAACTCTCATTGTAATCACAAAATGAAAAATCAGAGCAGAGTCAAAAAATCATAAATAAACAGAAAACTGCTAGAAAACCATAAGAGAAAACCACCAAATTAAAATGGCAGACAGAAATACAAGGGAAAAGAAACAACGGAAATATAGAACAACCAGAAAACAAAAGATAAAGTGGCAGCATTAAGCCTTAATATATCAATAATCACTCTAAATGTAAGTGAATTGAATTTACCAACCAAAAGGCACAGAGTGGCTGGATGGATTAAACAACAACATCCAACAATATGCTGCCTCCAGGAAACACATGTCAGCTCTAAAGACAAATATAGGCTCAGAGTGAAGGGATGGAAGATGATACTCCAGGCAAATGGCAAGCAAAATAATGTGGGTGTAGCCATACTTATATCAGACAAAGCAGACTTCAAGTTAAAAAATATAAGGAGAGACAAAGATGGCTGTTATATAATGGTAAAGGGGACATTCCACCAAGAAGACATGACACTTATAAATATATACGTACCTAACACAGGAGCACCAAAGTATATAAAGCAACTACTAACACACCTAAGGGGTGAAATTGACAGAAGCTCAATAAGGGGACTGTAACACCCTACTTACGTCAATGGATAGATCATCCAGACAGAAGGTCAACAAGGAAATAGTAGCCTTACATGAAACACTAGAGCGGGTGGACTTCATAGATTTATATATACAACACTCAATCCAAAAACAGCAGAACACACATTCTTCTCAAGTGCACATGGAACATTCTCAAAGATAGACCATATGCTGTCACAAAAGAAGCTTCAATAAATTTAAGAAGATTGAAATCATAGCAAGCATCTTTTTTGACCATAATGCTATAAAACTAGAAATCAACTACAAGAAAAAAGCTGGGAAAGTCACAAATATGTGGAGATTAGACAACATGCTACTGAACAACAATTGTATCAATGAAGAAATCAAAGGATAAATAAGAAAATACCTAGAGACAAATGAAAATGAAAACACAACATACCAAAATGTATGGGATGCAGCAAAAGTGGTATTAAGGGGGAAATTTATAGCAATATAGGCCTACCTCAAGAAACAAGAAAAATCTCAAATAAACAAGCTTAACCTATACCCTAAAGAACTAGAAAAAAAGAACAAAGCCTGAAGTCAGTAAAAGGAAGCAAATAATAAATATCAGAGCATAAATAAATGAAATGGAGACTCAAAAAACAATAGAAAGGATCAATGAAACTAACAGCTGGTTCTTTGAGAAGATAAACAAAATTGACAAACCCTCAACCAGAGTCATTATGAAAAAAGGAGATAAGACTCAAATAAATATAATCAGAAATAAAAAGAGAAATTTCTCTGGACACCACAGAAATAAAAAGGATTATAAGAGAATACTATGAAAAGCTATATACCAACAAACTGGATAACTTAGAAGAAATAGATAAATTCTTAGAATCATACAACCTACCAAAATTGAATCAAGAAGACTAGAGAATCTGAATAGAGCAATCACAAGCAAAGAGATTGAAACAGTAATCAAAAACCTCCCAAAAAACAACAGTCCAGGACCAGAGGGCTTCTCTGGAGAATTTTACCAAACATTCAAAGAAGACTTCCTATCCTTCTCAAACTATTCCAAAAAATTGAAGAGGACAGGATGCTTTTACAATGCCAACATTACCTGATACCAAAACCAGACAAGGACAACACAAAAAAGGAAAATTACAGGCCAATATTGCTGATGAACATACATGCAAAAATCCTCAACAAAATACTAGCAAATCAAATACAACAATACATTAAAGGATAGTGGGAGTTATTTCAGGGATGCAGGAATGGTTCAATATCCACAAATCAATCAATGTGATACACTGCATTAAAAACATGAGGAATAAAAATCACATGATCCTCTCAATAGATGCAGAGAAAGCATTTGACAAGATACAACATCCATTTATGATAAAAACTCTCAATAAAATCAGTATAGAAGGAAAGTACTTCAACATAATAAAGGCCATATATGACAAACCCACAGCAAACATCATACTCAATGGAGAAAAACTGAAAATCATTCCTCTGAGAACAGGAAGAAGACAAGGATGTCCAATCTTGCAACTCTTATTCAACACAGTACTAGAGGTTTTAGCCAGAGCAATTAGGCAAGAAAAAGAAATAAAATTGATCCAAATTGGAAAGGAAGAAGTGAAACTGTCCCTATTTGCAGATGAAATATTCATATATATAGAAAGCCCTATAGAATCCACCAAAAAACCATTAGAAATAATCAACAAATACAGTAAAGTTGCAGGAGAAAAAATCAACATACAAAAATCAGTTGCATCTCTATACTCATTTAAAATTGCCATAAAAAGAATAAAATATCTAGGAATAAATTTAACCAAGAAGGTGAAAGACCTATACATTGAAAACTGTAAGACATTATTGAAAGAAATCGAAGAAGACATAAAAAAATGGAAAGATATTCCATGCTCATGGATTGGAAGAATAAACATAGTAAAAATATCCCTATTACCTAAGCAATCTACAGATTCAATGCAATCCCAATCAGAATGACAATGACATTCTTCATGAAAATAGAACAAAGAATCCTAAAATTAATATGGAACAACAAAACACCCCAAATAGCAAAAACAATCCTGAGAAAAAAGAACAAAGTTGGAGGTATCACATTCCCTGAAGTCAAAATATGCTACAAAGCTATAGTAATCAAAACGTCATGGTACTGGCAGAAAAACAGACACACAGATCAATGGAACAGAACTAAGAGCCCAGAAATAAACGCACACATCTATGGACAGCTAACCTTTGACAAAGGAGCCAAGAACATACAATGGAGAAAGGACTATCTCCCCAATAAATGGTGTTGGGAAAACTGGACAGCTACATGCAAAAGAATGAAAGTAGACCATTCTCTTACACCATAGACAAAAATTAACTCAAAATGGATCATAGACTTGAATGTAAGACCCGACACCATAAAACTCTTAGAAGAAAATATGTCAAACACTCTTTGACATCAGTCTTAGCAGAATCTTTTTGAATACCATGTCTATTCAGGCAAGGAAACAAAAGAAAAAATAAACAAATGGGACTACATTAGACAAAAAAGCTTCTGTTCAGCAAAGAAAACTATAAAGAAGACAAAAAGACAACCCACCAACTGGAAGAAAATATTTGCAAATCATATATCTGACAAAGGATCAATTGCTAAAATATATAAATAACTCATACAACTCAACAACAACAAAGTGAACAACTTGATCAGAAAATGGGCAGAGGACACGAACAGACATTTTTCCAAAGAAGATATACAGATGGCTAACAGGTGCATGAAAGACGCTCAACATCACTAATTGCTAGGGAAATGCAAATCAAAACTACAATGAGATATCACTTCACACCCATCACAATGGCTATAATTAACAAGACAATAAATCACAGGTGTTGGAGAGGATGTGGAGAAAAGGGAACCCTCACACACTACTGGCGGGAATGCAAACTGGTGCAGCCACTGTGGAAAACAGTATGGAGATTTCCCAAAAAATTAACAATAGAAATACCATATGATCCAGATATTCCACTACTGGGTATTTATCCAAAGAATATGAAATCACAATTCAAAACGATTTATGCATCCCTATGTTCATTGCAGCATTATTCACAACAGCCAGGATGTGGAAGCAATCCAAGTGCCCCTCAACAGATGAATGGACAAAGAAGAAGTGGTATATATATACAATGGAATACTACTCAGCCATAAAAAAAGACAGAATTGTGCCATTTGCGACAACATGGATGGACCTTGAGATTATGTTAAATGAAATAAGTTAGACACAGAAAGACAAATACCATATGATTTCACTCATATGGGGAAGATAAACATACAAACACATAGATAAGGAGAACAGATTAGTGGTTACCAGAGGAAAAGGAGGTAGGGGGAGGGCAAAAGGGGTACATAGGTACAGTGACACATAAGAACTAGACTATTGGTGGTGAACACAATGCAGTCTGTACAGAAACTGAAATATAATAATGTACACTGTAAATTTCACAATGTTAAAAGCCAATATGATCTCAATAAAATTAAAAAAAAAGTTACTTGCTGTGTCACTAATAATAACCATGTGACTTGCAGCTAAGACAGGAACCTAGTCAGATGTCTCCAAGTTCTGGGAGGGGGAGGTGTTTTCTATCACTGGGAACTTTTTCATTTTCCCTATAAAGTTGGGATTATCTTTCTCCTTTTTTTTCAATGGGGAACCTCAGGACTCCAGACTCAGAGAGGTGTAGGGACGTGCCTGCGACACAGTTTATCAGAGGCAAAATCAGGAATCCACCCCAGTGTGCCTGGCTTTGGAGGTCATGCTGTCCTAGGTTGGACAGCAGCCTGCCCAGAGTTCACAGGCCTGATCAGGAGCAATGTGGGGCCAGGGTTTAGTGAGGGCAGTGACTTCAAACACAAAAACAAAACAAAAGAGGATTGGGGGGTAGTGCACAGGGTGCCACCTCCCGCCCGCCCCTCCTCAGCCCCTCCACTGAGAGAATTTGGTACCACCACGTTTGTGGAGCACTTGCTGTGCGCCTGACACAATTCTAAGCCTTTACACCACCTCTGAGGCTGGCACTATTGTCATCCCTCTTACAGACAGGGAAACTGAGGCACAGAAAGGAAAGTAACTGCCGTGAACGTGCTCGGGTAGTTGAGTGTCCTCAGCAGAAGTCAGACCCAGGCAATCTGGCCCAGAAATCCAATGCATTTCCAGAGGGAAGGAAAGAACCAAGGAGGGAAGGAAGGAAAGAAAGAAAGAGTGAAAGACAAAAAGAAAGAAAAAAAAAGAAAAAAGAAAAAAGAAAAAGATCCTCCTCTAATTGGCTTGGCGCTCCCAGGCTTGGGAAAGGGAGCGGGAGCGCCCCCTGGTGGAGATGTTGGTTATTGCGTCCCTTCTAATCTCCGCTTCCCGGCACCAGCCCTCTCTCTGGGGCCCCCTGGCTGTGTTTCCTCAACCAGACATTGTGTCACGGATGCAGGTCGCATCTTCTCACTGAGTCTCAGCCTGTGCCTGCAAAGGGCCTTTCCTGACCTGCGACCAGAGGCTGGCTGGCCTGACCAGATGCACAGGCAGGGAAGACACTCCCACAAATGGGGCTGCTGGGGTCAGGGAGGCAGCCTGAGCCCTGATCCCAATCCCAGTCTGACTGTCAGGGGCTCTGTGACCCTGGGTACCTTACCTCTCCTCTGTCCTCATCTGTAGGATGGGGATTAAGTGGTGGTGTTGGAGATAAGGAGGGAATGCTTATAAGACTGGCCCCCGGCACAGAGAGGCTTCCCCCTCCCTCCACCTGCATACTTACTCCTTTGGCTCTGGCAAGACCAGCCCCCGCACTATGATGACCTGTCCGGGCCAGAGACCCCGGGGAAGGGCACGCGAGCAGGGCACCTCCTGAAGGAACAGGGAGATGACTGAGAAGGCACTCACAGAGGGACTGGGGGCTGGGGGGGCTTCCATCCCCAGGAGTGGCTTCCAGGGCTGCCCTTGGGGGCCGGGAGCCCTGGAGCAGGTGAGTCTCTGCCTCTAGGCCTGCAGCCAGGAGGAGACTCTGCTCTGCTCATTTATTAAACACCTACTGCAGGCCAGGCCTCCTGTGCTCCGCTCTCCCTGGCCTCTCCAGGCTGAGCTCTGGGCCCCTCCATGCTGTGAGCACCACGTATGGCCCCCATCACTGCAGCCCAATGGAAATGTACTGACTGGTTCATTGGTCTGCCTCCCCACCAGCCTGTGAGCAACTGGAGGGCTGGGACTGGCTCGGCCCTCTATCCTAGAGCCCAGCCCTGGGCCTGGCATGGTATCAATTAATTGTGTGCAGAATAAATGGACAAAAGGTACAATGAAGCTGCCAGCCCACCCGCAGCCTGCAGTTTTGTACAAAGGTAGGAAGAACCCTGAGGGCATTTCCACCAGGTGGGGGTGCCCTCCCACCCCGGGGAGCAGGGGAGGGACTACACCTCCCAGGGAGGTCACTCACCAGCTGGGGGCTCTTCAGCAGGAAAGGCTGCTAAGGAAAGAAAGAGGAGATATGGAGGCCACATGGTGATTGCTTAGTGAGGGAACCTCTTGTTATTATTATTAAAAATTGGGGGTATTTGGTGTTTGTCTCTCTCAAACACAATGCAAGTGAGTCACTGGAGCCCCAGTGGGGTCCTCTTGAATTCAGAGGGACACTGGCTCTGGAATAATGGAGAAGACCTGGATGGAGGGTCTGTGTGGCCTTGGAGAAGTACATGGGCCTCATCTCCCCTTCTGCCCTGCAGGCCGACCCCAGCTACCTCGAAGGGTTGCTCTGGGAATTGAAAGCTCCAACCTAAAGGGATCTTCTGATAGGAATACCCGGGTCCTGCCCATTCCTGACAGCCAGCCCACCCCCATCCATCTTCCCAAGCTGGGCTGGGAAAGGCAAATCGAGGCTCTGCAGGGACTGAGGAGGAGCAGATTGTATCCATGGCAATGGCTTGTATCCCTGGCAACTGCACAGGCAGGGAAGGGGCAGCTGGCCCTTTGCCATGTGAGCAGCAGCCCAGGGAGGGGCAGGTCGTGCTGGGGAGGAGGGAGAACCAGCGGCTCAGCTAGTGTGGCTGGGACCACAAGGGCCAACCTTGCTCCCAAGAGACTCACGTGTCCAACTGGATACTCGCTGCCGCCCTCCACAAATGGCTGTTCAGAAAGAGAAAAAGCAGCAGTCTGGATTCAGGCCACTGCAAGCCCCAAATGCTATTTTTTGGCCCCTGCCTGCCCTGCCTATGCTTGGGAGGGGGGCAGAGGCTGACTTAGGCCTTGCTAGCTCCCTCATTCTCCCCATAGGCCTCATCAGTGGTTCTCACACCTGGCATTTTGAACATGCTGATTCGTAGACCCCACCCAGACTTACTGGTCCTAGAAATCTGCATTTTTAATAAGCTCCTCAGGAGGGAGTGATATAGCCAGCTGCTAAGTTTGGGCCCTACCCCTCCAAGTCTCCAAGACTTTCACCTCCTGGCCATTGCTCCTCCGTGTTAACCAGACCCCACACCCAGTACAGACTTCTGCCCGAGGCTCTGGCGTCCCCCTTCTGTGGTCACTTTCACTTCCTCTCACCCCACTCATATCTGACACCTTGATGGATCTCCTCCACCTTGGCTACAATTGGTGTGACATGGGTTGTCTGGGGCAGGAGGGGGTTCTGGGCCTGTCTAGGCATCGGGGGAAGTCAGGGGCCGCTGCCACCCAGGCCTTGGCTCCAAGGGAACTTACGTTGATGTTCAGGAATCCAAGGGCATTCACCAAGATGTCCCCAAATATGCCCAGGGTGTCTACCCGAGACAGCGGGAGCCGGTAGCGGTAGTGGAGAAAGTGCTGCCCATTTACGCTCACCTGGAGACAGACAGAGGCTGGCTCACTGAGTTCTTACTAACGTGCCAGGTGTCAGTGAGCACTCTCACCTGGAATTTTCCTCATTTAACTTCACATCACCTCCATGAGGCAGGTACTTTTACAGACGAGGTGCTCCTGGCTTGGGGAGCTTAAGTGACCTTCCCAAGGTTGCAGAGCTGGCAGGTGGCAGAGCTGGCCTTGGAACCAAGACACCTCTCAATGCCCCTCTCTGGCCCTGACACAGCACTTCCCCACGCTGCCCCTCACTTCCCCTCACAGCAGACCTGCCAGCAGCATCCTCATCCCCAGGGGAGGAAACAGAGGCTCAGGAGGTCCCGCCCTCCACTGCTGGCTCCCTACCAACTCCTCTCACCCCTGGAGAAGTCTGAAGATCCCGCCATCTTTCTGGCAGGAGATCACGTTGGTGGTGACAGCCTTGAGGTCAAGTTCTTTCTCCCTGCCCCTGTCCCCTCAGCTGTGAGATGGGGAGATTGAAAGTACCTTCCTCATGGGTTGTGGTGGGGATTCAATGAGCTGATATTTAAGGGCTTAGAACAGTGCACGGCACATGGCAGCGGCTCTCCAAGTGCTTGCTGTGACCATGGCAGTGGTGCCTTCTCCAGGGCCGGGCACCATAGAGCCTTCCTGTTACCATGCGTACCAGGCCATGTGGGCCCAGGGCAGCTTTGAACAAGGCTTGGCAGCTCCTTGGTCCTTTCGGTACTCAACCCCTCCTCCCAGCACCCCTTAACACAGTGGCATGGGGAATTCAGCTGAAGGAAGGAGGAGTGGAAGGACACAAGCTCTAGACACTTGATGCCCATCCCTTCCACTCACCTTCATCTCCTCATTTCCAAAGAGAAAGAGGATGAGGAAGCTGTCACCTCTCTGCAGGGCCAGGCGGGGCCACCGGGCCTCTGCTTGCCAGCGCCCATGGTGCAGGGTGTTGCAGATCACGTGGGGGTTGGTGGTGTGGAAGCGAGGGTTGAAGTGGATGGCGATATCCGGCCGGGGATGCAGGCTGCAGCCGCACTGGAAGTCCACCTGAAACCTGGGGAGTGGTGGGGTTCTCAAAGGACCCTTGTGGTCAGAGACCCCCAGAGACCCCGAAGGGAGAGAGGAAGCCCCAGCTCGATGCCTCTGGGGCTGAGCTCCAGCACCCCGCAGAGCACTCCCCTTACTTGCGTGCATCGCGAGCGACTACTCCCTGTAGCATGACCATCTTGCCTGCACGCAGGCCACCAAAAATTGTTGTGACATAAGGAACCACCTGAACAAGGAGAGAAACCCATCATACAGGGTTGGAGAAAGGGCCTAGGGACCCCTGTGACAGGGGGCTGGGGAGGGAAGAGGAAAAAGAAAATTCAACTCTCCCATCCCAAACAGAAAATGCCCTTAGAGGAAAAATTAGTTTTCTCTGAAATGTTCTCTTCCATGTACTCCCCTTTCCTGGACCTTCACACGTCAACACATTGCACCGGAGAAGCCAAGTTCAGCTTTACTACCCCCTTGGAGCACCAGCCCAGCCCCCCTCCCCAGCTCCTAGGACACAGTAGTGTCCGCAGTGAGGCTTGCTGTCCACTGGATGGCACCATGGCCTCTAGAAGTCTGGTATTGAGGCTTCCTGAGGACCGTTTATTCGCTGGAGCCCGGGACTGGGAGTCAGAAGGATGGACTAGTTGGGACCTGAGAGCTGACCATGATGTGGACGCCTGGAGAGATAACTAAGGATAGAAGCTGCCTGGCACTCCTGAAACACAACACACACTTTTACAACTCCCTACCTTTTCAGGGCTGTTTCCTCTGCTCTCCCTGCTCTCTGTGATATTGGACTTGACTTTCAAGCATCCTAACATCTTCTCTGACACCTTCTCCCAGCATCGTCCACTTTGGTGCCTGAATTATTCCTTCCTTCCCCTGTGTCCCCAGAACACTTCATTCCATGGCTTGGCCTTTGACTGGCTGTTTACTCTGGGAGGCACAAGCCCCTCAAAGCTGAAGTCCTGTCTTTCCCTTCTGTGCTCAGCGCCCCGCCTGGCACAGCGTGGGCTCAATAGGTCTTTACAGAACGAATGTGAACATGCAGCAGGTAACACCCGGCAGGATCACAAGACTGCCCTTCATGAGGTGTTCTCCAACCATCAGTAGCCTTCAGAAGCCCAAACCATCTACAAAGAGCCGAGACCCAACAGCGGGCCATCCAGGTGGGAGCTCACAGCCTGCAAAGCAAGAAACAGTTGTAACCTGGGCAGTGCTTCCCCCATTATTCAGGCACCTGGGGAGATGGGGAGCTCCTGGGCTGTCAGAGAGCCCACAGCTTAGCAGGGCTCAGCAGTTCAGTCCCTCCCACTTCCCAGGCTCCAGGCCTGGCCTGTAATTAACTGAGCCCATGTAGTGCTCCTGGGAGGAGAGGGCCGAGGAGAGAGAGAGTGAAAATCAGTGCTCATTAGTGGGAATTCGCTGGTCAGCCACTTTGCTAGGCTCAGAGGGCCTTCCAGAGCCCATGGGCAGGTGCAGGGGGAAGCAGGGCCCAAGACTGAAGCCCTCTCCACCCACCACCTGGGAGTCTGGGCCCAGCTGGAAGGGAGGAGCCTGAGACCCAGGAGGTTCCAGATCCCAGGGAATGCTCACCGGGTGGAAGACTGGCGGCTGCAGGATGAAGGCTGCAGGGAGCGGGTCCAGTTTTTCTCCAGATGACATGAGGGTTGGGGCGCCTCCTATTCAGGCTGCTGATCCTGATTCCAGGAGCCCCCACTGGATCAACTCACCTTTCCCAGCCAGGACTCTAAGTGCCTGGGGCAGCTCTCTGCAGGGTCAGGCAGGTCTGGGAGGGCAGTGGTCCACCCCTAGTGCCACACCCCAGCTCCAGCCCCAACCGCTGAAATGGGGCTGTCAGCAGAAATCCACGTCCAGGGGCAGGAAGCCCACACTAACTAGCCAGCTAACTAACTAGCCCCTCTGGGGCTGAAGCACGTGGCTGCTGCAGAGGAAGGCCAGAAGGCTTTGCGGCCAGGGAGGGTTTGTGGTTTTGGGGAGGCCTTCTGAGCCCTCCCAGGTCACAGGCAGGTGTAGTGGTACTTGTGGGCAGGTTCCTGGAGAAGCCCCACCCCCGGCTTCCTGGCCGGCATTGAGTGGCTTCCCCTTTTGCCTCCTCCCCTCCTCTTTCCCTCCTCACTCCTGCTCTAGTCCCCTCCCTCCCCTCCCCCCTCTCCTTTCCCTCTCCCTCTTCCCTTGCCTTCTCCCCTCCCTTCCCCTGCCCTTCTCCCCACAAAAAGTTTTCCTCTCTTTCTCTCATTTCCCTGCCCTTTCCCCACTCTTCCCCCTTTGGCAAGTTTTATCGTCCCCTGTGGCTCCATTTCAGCATCAGCTGGCAATGCCAGGGCCCAGCTGGGGTCACAAGAAAGTGGGGCTGGGGGAGAGGTGAGAAAAGGTCAGGGAGTGAGGAGAGCCCCCTTAGGCTGAGAGAAGGCGGCACGTGCAGTGGGATCACACAGCTGCAACCAAGGAGATCTTGGTTCTTGCTCAGCCTCTGCTCTAACATGCTGTGTGCCTTGGGACGAGTCGCCTGCCGTCTTTGGGACTCCCTTTGATCGTCTTTGTATAGAGAGGGTGACTACAGCAGCGTATCTCCAAGGGAGGTCTGTGCCTGGGGGTGGGCCCAGATAGCTGCGTTTTCATCAAGCTCCCCCATGATCCTTTGGACTAGAGTCATTGCAGTTCTGGTTTAAATTCCAAAAGGCTTTCCCTTTAAAAAGCAGCAGAACTTCTCACCTTTATCCTGGGTTGGGAGGCCCTGGGATCTGACCACAGTGTCTGACTTGGCAACAGGGAATTCCCGGCAGAACAAGGCTGGGCAAAGTCTCCATTGCAGGGTTGCCGAGGGAAGAGTATGCCGCTGCTCTGAGGGAGGGGTGAGTGTAAGGCAGGCCTCGGGAAAGGCATCTTAGGTGCTTCTCAAGGGCAGCAGCAGCATTGCCTGGGAGCTTGTGAGGAATGCGAACTGTTGCCCCCCCCAGACCTACTGAAGAGGGATCTCTGGGTGCAGGGCCCAGGGATCTGCATTTTAGTGCACCCTCCAGGTGATTCTGATGCTTGTTACTGTTTGAGAAGCACCGACTTAGGTGCTCACTGGCAGGGCTTGGGGTATGGAGGCAAGGAATTTGTTCAGATCTTGCTGGGTAGGTGGAGCTGGGCTGCTGAAGGTGCATTGTGTGGGGGAAATTCCATCAGAGGTGTGTTGACGAAGACTAATCTATATACACAGCAGGAAGGAGAAACAAAACGTGGAGAAGCCAGTTGGGCAGCAACATGGAGCCCCACCCCTGGGGGTCAGATCTGGGTCCTGGTCTCAGCCTCACAGCACCAATCTTAAGTGAAATACGCCATCTCCCTCTGCCCATCGGAGCCTCAGTTCCTGGTCTATGCATTGAGGAAAGAGAATGTATTAGTTTGCTAGGGACACCTAGCAAAGTATCATAGTCTGGGTGGCTTAAACAACAGAAATTTAATTTCTCACGGTTCTGGAGGCTAGAAGCCCAAGATCAAGGTGTCAGCAGGCTTGTTTTTTTCCGAGGCCTCTCTCCTTGGCTTGCAGATGGCCGCCGCTGGGTCTGTGCGTTTGTGTCCTAAATTCTTATAAGAAGACCAGTCATATTGGATTAGGGCCCACCCGTGTGACCTCATTTTACCTGAATTACCCTTTTAAAGGCCTTATTTCCAGATGCAGTCTCATTCTAGTTACTGGCGTTAGGACTTCAACATGCATTTTGGGGGGTGAGGTTGGGGAACACAACTCTGCCTGTACCGGAAGATTAGCTGTTAACTGTTTTCTTTCTGAAACCTCAAGGCTATTGCAACTGTTCAGGTGTGGGGAGCTGATGAGGGCCTGCAGTGGGGGAGGCAGCAGAAGGGGGAAGATAGCCCATTTCATTACTCTTTTCAGGTGACCCCAGTTTTTGACAGCTGGGAAGGACCTGATTGGGCTTAAAGCACCTCAAGAACTTGTTGAATATTAGAGGTTCCAGGATGAGAGAGGGTCTTAGTGTCTGTTGGTCTGTCCGGGGTCGGGAACGGCAAGATCCCCCTGCCTCAGGCCCCCACTCCCATCCCAGCTCGCTACACCCTGTACTTCCCCCTCAGAGCACTTATCCTAACTGGTCATTATCTGCTGAAGACTTTTTTAATGCTTGTCTCCCATTTCCCTACTCCCCACCTGTAAGTTCCACAAGGGCAGATTTATTCTTGTATGCTGAGTACCAAGCAAATGCCGGACACAGAGCAAGTGCTCCAGATATACTTAAAGAATGAATTATTGGATCAAGTCATGGTTTATGGCTCCTGTCCGGTCTCTGCCTCCTTCTCTGTCTCTCTCCCAGCAGATGTGGAACTGTGGCCCAAGCACAAACTAGTCACATACTCTTCCCCTGGCCTCAGATTGTAACTGAGATAATTTTACCTATATCGATCAATTACCAGTTAATAGCTTGGGAAATATATCTGTGGTCAGGGATCTCAAGGTGCTCTGTTCTTCTCCATATTTTGATCCAGCAGCCTCTTTCACAATCCCTGATCCTGAACGGGTGTAACTCTCTGGGCCTAGGGAGGGACTAATGCATGTATTAACCTACTTTGGTCTACATCTCTACCCCTTTCTTCTATCTGATTCTCTTCCAGGTCACTGGAAACTCTCATGGATCCTCTTTCTCGAGGGGCCAGTTTTGCGTCATCCTGGAACAGAGGGTGGGATAATTAGGAGAAATACTAGGCAAGAAGAGTTGACAGAACCTGACGGCTGGCTGGATAAGGGAGACTAGGAAAAGAGGCCAAAAAAAGTGACTCCAGCATCTTGAACCAAACGATTGGGAAGATTTTGGAGGCATTAACAAAAAACAGGGCAGCTGCGTGTATAATCCTGAGGGAGGCAAGTTGGCTAATTCCTGTGGAGACCACTGTGGAGGAGGCGGGATGCAGGAACCAGTCTGGATGGAGCCTGGACACAGGGAATGTTCAATCGGTGTGGAAAGAATGAAGGTGGCATTGCCTGAAAGTGTGTTAATATACTCTTGAGAAAACGGGTTCAATTTCTGCAGGTGCTATTCTGCCCGGTAAGTGCGTTTTAGTGGCTGCAGCCAGTTTTCATACCCGGGTGCTGTGACGATTAAAGAGAGCAGCCATCCGTCTTGCTCTCAAGGAGCTTCCAGTCTAAATGCAGAGAGACAGCATACACTTTGAGCGGAGAACCAACAGGACAAAGCCAGCTCCATTTTATTTATCTTTTTTCCCCAAAGAGATAGAACCATTTGGACAGAAATATTGTAAAACTGGGGAAAAAACCCAAGAATCACCCATAACCTCAGAAGGTAAAACACAACTCTTCTCATTACTTTGATGTATGTCCTACCAAACTTCTTCTCATCCCTGTGGATCATAGGTTTATAAGGAATCTCAACTCAAAACCTGAAGCAGCTTGAATGTTTCCCAACCACTGCTCTTGACTGTATCTGTTGACTCTCTCTTCCCTGAGAGGTCGCAGACTCCATCATTTTTCAGGCAGCTCCTATCACTTTCCAAGCACTTGGTTACTGAAACTCAATCCAGTTTAGCACTGGTCGTCAATGGTTGTTGACGTCACAAAGAGAAAGAGAAGCAGACACATTTACTTCCTGATGGAAGAAGACATCGCTACTAATGAAATCCTCTTGAAGAAAAAGTCATCGAATCTGAATTTGATTGACTCTCTAGACTTAACTACCAGTTTATAGGAATACAGAGCACAAATGAGCACGTTGAACAACAGCAGCAAAACTCAGACCCTGGGAGACTTTACAGGACAAATGACCCAGTTTCTTCAATTAAAAAATTCAAGAAAAAAAAAAAAGGTGGAGGAGAAACCTATAGATCAGAGATTCACAAACTTTTTCTGTAAAGGACCAGATGGTAAATATTTTAGGCTTTGGAGGTCATGAAGTCTTAGATGCCACAGCAACTAGTCAACCCTGCCCTTGTGCTCTGAAAGTCGCCTTAGACAATATGTAAATGAAGGATGTGGTTATGTTCAAATAAAACTTCATGAAACTGAAAGTTGAATTTCATATAATTTCCCCATCACACAAATATTATTCTTTTATTTTTAAAACCATCAAACAACGTATAAAATCAATCCTAGCTCTTGGGCCACATAAAAACTGACAGTGGGTGGTAGTTCGTGGGATGTAGTTTGCTGCCTCCTGCTTTAATTAAAAGAAATTAAGAACCACATCAACAAATCGTAACTTATGGACTTTATTTGGATTTTGGTTCAAACAAAAAAACAGTTAAAAAAATGTATAAGGAATCAGAGACATGAACGTTGATTGGCTATTTGACGACATTATAGACTGCTAAAATATTTTTAAATGTGTTAACAGTATTGAAGTCATCTTTATTTTTAAAATATTCTTTATCTTTTAGAGATACATACTAAAATATTTACAGATGAAATGATGTGTCATCTGGCATGTGCTTCAAAATAATCCAGGTGTAGAGGAAGGGAGTGGGGGATATAGATGATGCCAGATTGGTCATATACTGACAACTGGAGAAGCTCAGTTAAAGGTAAATGGGGATCCATTTTTGTGTGAAAATTTGCATAATAATAAGTAAAACAAAACAAAACAACCAAACAACCCCAAACCCAAAGCCACAACTCAATCAGTGTATAGCTTTTTTTGTGTGTGTGTGTGAGGAAGATTAGCCCTGAGCTAACATCTGTTGCCAATCCTCCTCTTTTTGCTGAGGAAGATTGGCCCTGGGCTAACAACTGTGCCCATCTTCCTCTACTTTATATGTGGGACTCTGCCACAGCATGGTTTGATGAGTGGTGCCTAGGTCCATGTCTGGGATCTGAACCTGTGAACCCTGGGCAGCTAAAGTGGAGCACGTGAACTTAACCACTATACCACTGGACCGGCCCCCAGGATACAGCTTTTCATCTCATCTCCTATTTGCCTGGGGGGAGATGCATGGCTTAATGTCCTGGAAGTGGGTGAGCCCAGTTTGCTCCTTTGGGCACCCTCCCACCACGGTGCCCAGGAGTGGAAGGGGAGGCGGGAACTACTGCAGTTGGGGGCAGGGAGGAGGAAGAGGATTGACAGACACTAGACAAGCCATGGGGCAGTCAGGGACTCCCTCTGGCTCTGTGCAGTTCTAACCCTAGTGCTGGGGGCCTCTGTGTATGTGGCCTTGGTAGGGAAAGTGTGCAGGCAAAGTTATTTTACTCCAATACACTCGGCCACTGAGGACCCCCTGAGAGGCACTGGGTCTCCCTTTGGGTCTTGCATAAATAGGAGTCCTTCTTTGCCCAGCCCTCCAGCCCAGCCTGGATGCCTGAACATCTCTTCCTCCTCCACCTCCTCTCCTTTACCTGATACCACTGGAAACTCTGAGGTCCTCATCTGGGCACATGAGAGCCAGGAGGTAATCACCAGCAGATCTTCACTGTAGGAGATTCAAAGGGCTATACTTTAGGAAGAAGAAAGATGACCTCAGAGGGAAGGTTACTGCTGCAAGACAGAAAGATGAGCAAAGAGAGTGGCAACATACAGACCAATCTAAAGTAATGTCAATTAATTACAAAAATGATGATAATAATAATGTGAATTCAGGGTTAAAAAAGGGCAGAACTAAAATAGCATGGGAGGGGAAGATTGGAGTGAAAGTGTTCTAAGGTCCTTGCATTGTTTCAGAGGGGTGTTTAGGATCTGACTTTTAGACTTCCAGCACGCATGGTAAAATTTTGAGGGTGATAAATACGAGAATAGAGTGTAAACTTCAAACAAATAGAGGGAAAAATGTAACATACCTCAGATCAGATCTCTATGAAGAATATAAAACTTCATTGAAAGACATTAAAGAAGACCTAACAAATAGAGATAATGTGTAATGGATTGGAAGACTCAATTTTGTAAAGATGTCAACATTGCTGAATTGATTTTTGGATTCAATGTAATTTCAATCAAGATGCCAAGAGAGTATTTTGAGCAATTTGACAAGCTAATTCTGAAATATTTATGGAAGGACAAAGCTCAAGAGTAGTCATACTCCTGAGGAAGAGTAAGGAGGGGGGAATCTCAAGATATCCATATAAAAAGACTTATCATAAAGCTATAGTAATTAAGATCATGTCACAGTAGCACAAAGAGACACATTTACCGGTGAAATAGAATACAGCCAATGATATTCCTGCTCATTCGTGAAAGCCTGACAAGTGACAGAGGAGGCATTGCTCATCACTGGGGGAAAGAGAAACTATCAATAAGTGATGCTGAGATAAATAATTATTCATATGGGAGAAAATGAAATTGGATCTCTGCCTGACACATACACGAAAATCAATTCCAGATAGATCAAATGAAAAAGACAATTTAAAAACTCTTACAAGAAAATATAGGAGAATATTTTTCACACTTCAGGGCAAGAAAGGACTTCATGAAAAGATACAGAGAACTAACCACAAAAAAAGACTGAAATTCTACTTCATTAAAGTTAATAACTTCTCTTCAACAAAAGGCATCATGCAGAAAGTGAAAAGACAAGCCATGAATGGGAAGAAAATACGTGTAAACAAATACAACTGACTAAAGATGAGTACCAAGAATATATAAACAGCTCCCACAAATCACTAAGAAGACAACTCCAAAGAAAAATGGGCAAAAGACACGAAAAGGCACTTTTTTTTTGTGAGGAAGACCAGCCCTGAACCCGGGGAACCCCGGACCGCTGTAGCCCACCGTGTGCACTTAACCTCTTGCACCACGGGGACCAGCTGGAGAAGGTACTTTTTAAAAGAGGAAATGGCTAATAAATATATACAAAGTTCTCAACCTTATTAGTGACCAGTGAAATGCAAATGAAAACATCAGTGAAATACTATTTTACATCCACGCACACAGAAAAATTAAGTATGACACAGCTAAGTGTTGGTGAAGATGTAAATCAACAAGAATTCTTACCCATTGCTGGTAGAAGCGAAATTGGTACCAGCAATTGGGAAAACATTTTAGTGTTCTATAGTTAAGCTGAACTTTTGCATACCTTCCTAGGTATTAAATCCTATAGAATCTCTTGCATGCATACAGTAGGACACAATTGGGTTCTTTTCAATAGTTTCTAATTCCAAATTAGAAAAAACCAAGTGGTTTTATCACCCGATCAGTAAATAAATAGTATATTCACATAAGGGAATATTTTACAGCACGGAAAACGAATTACAGATCTATACAGCAATATGTATGTAGTACAGAAACAATTTTGAAAGAAGCAAGTTGCAGAAGATCACATACGGCATGATACCGTTTTCGTAAAGCTTCAAATAAGTAACACGAAACTATATATTAGGGATACAAAGACGTGATTTTAAAAAACTTTTAAAAAGCAAGGACATGATAGAAACAAAACTCAGGAGAGAGGTACCTCTGGCGGGGAGGCAGGGAGATGGGAAAAGAGAACACACAGGTGTGATGAGCATCTGTGCTAGGTATGTTCTTGTTCTTAAGTAGGATGGTGTATTCATGGGAGGTAATTTTATTATCATGTGTCATAACTACATGTATCCCACGTATTCTTTTGTATATATTACATATTATATGTAGATGCATATTACATATAATTAATTGTATAATACATATTTTAAATAAAAACTGAATCCTTCAAGATTTTAACTCCCGAACGTGCCTCCCAAGGCCTTCAACCGCTCTCTCTATATGTCGCTCCTCCGTCTACTTCATGACATTCAGCTTTTCCAGTCACATCAGGTGCCGCCTCCGAGCCTTTGCACATGCTGTTCCGTCTTACCTTCCATCCCACGAATAATCTACGCCGCCTTTCCCTGCCTTTCCTCTCAAAGTCCCTCAGATTCCTGGGCCTCAAGCGCCCCGACTTGCCCCCTCTGGGTTTGGGGACGTGCTCGCCGAGCCCGCGCGGCTGGCCCTTCCCGCGCGCACCCGTCGCCCCGCGCGCCTCTGGCCGCGCGCCCCGCCGGTTGCTGCGCGCTCCGTTTCCGCCTCCTCGGCCCTCCGCCCTCTCTTTCCGCGGTTCCTCACTGCGCTGCCCCCGGTGCCCTGGACCCCGCAGTCTGCTAACCCCGGCCGCGCTGACTGGGCACTGGCCGGGCGCGTCGCCCCTCGCGGGACCGGCGGGGCCTCAGCGGCGAGATGGGCCTGAGCCCCGCCGCCGCGGGGGAGTGCGGGCTCCGCGTCTCTAAGTTCCCCCGGTCCCGCTCCAAACCCGCCTTGAGAACTGCAGGTATGGGACCAAAAGACAACCAACCTGCTTCTGGCCATTCAGCTGTGCCCCAGGAATGGGGCCCCTCCCCACCGAGCTGCTTGGAAGCCCTCCGGCGTCGTTCTCCTCGTCCCAGCGGGCCATAGGACCCCCAGAAAAATCACCATAGTTGCCTTCAAGGCTCCTTCTCGTAGATACTTGTTGATTGTGCGATATGCCTGTTAATGGTAATGAGTGCATATTTCGGATTGATCGTTTATTATTAATTTAATCAAAGCGAACCAGGCACTCAGTGACTCTCGGGTATCTATCCTACTGTATTTCAGGTGGAAGCGGGACAGAGGTGGCAGCTACCCGGCAGGTACAGTTAAGAACGCTCTAGCTCCGCAGAAGCTTCTGCCCTCAGGCTTAGACCCAAGGTTTCTGTCTGCCATCTGGGATAGAGGCAACTCTGACTTCATCCTGTCCCCGAGAATTCCCAAGTCTCTCTTTTCCAGAGGAACTGAGCCCTCTCCAGCATAGTCCCACAATTCCCTTCATTCATCCAAAAATGTGTTGAGGGCTAACCAGGATCCGCGCAGGGCTCTAGACCAGAGCTCTGAGCCCACCTTCGCTTAGCTGTCAAGGTGATGGCTCCAACTCTTGTTTCGCAGGTTTCACCCCCGTAGAAGGCAATTGTGGTTTAAATAGAATTTTTTTTTCTTGAAGTAGAAGAATCCGTGGGATCTCAAGCCTTCGTCCAGCTCTTGCCCAAGCAGCCGCAGCAGGGCGTGTTAGAACAGAGCGGAAGCGTCCAGCAGGGGTAAGATTCTTTGTACGGAAGGACTGGGTCTTTGGCTGGTAAAAGCCTTTTGAAGAACTGACTGATGGTATTTCTGTAAAACAAACCCTGAGGTGGTTTCTGTGCGAACCACTAACCAGTGAGCAGAAGGCTGGTGTGCTCCTGGTAATAACAGATTGGGACCAGGCCTGGGACTCACTGGCGGGAGGCTGCCTTGAAGCAGTTTCTAGCCATGGGGCTTCTCCAGACCCCTGAGAATTGAATTGCTTTAGAGGCACGCTTACGATATTGCCACTTGGCCTCACTAACTAATGCATGATGCAACCTTTTTGCAAATTTCCCCAATTCACTTTCATTAAAAATGTGATGTTTGCCTCTTTGTAAAATTCTGGGGGGCTGCAAGTTTTGAGAAGAGCTATAGTGAAAACCAGGAGTACCCCCTCTCCCACTATACTTTTGGAGAAACTTAAAAAGTGGAGAAAGGTAAAGAAAATGTCATTTGGGGTTAGTAATGTAAAAGGTGTGTACAGATGCTTTCTCATTTACCCCTCTTGACAACTCTGTGAGACAAATATAGTCTCTATTTTATAGACAATCAAACTGAGGTTCAGACAGATTAATTTACTAGCTCAAGGTTGGGCAGCCAGTATCAGAACCAGGATTCAAACCTAGGTCTTTTTGGCTTCAATATATTTCACTTTACTATACTACCCCAAAAGCATATTCTTACCTTTAGTTTCAGCCCTCTCCTGTAACATTTTGTTTCAAGGGACAAAGTAGACTGATTTATTTCACATTACTTACAGTTACAGTTTTGTGACTCAACAAGATTTCTCAGAAATATGGAGCTAATTATTAGAAGAAACAGCTCAAGTGTTCAGGGGGCTTGCCTCTGGCCTACTGGAGTGGGAAGCTTGCATTTCATTATAGGCTATTACGTACTGTTACCATTTTTTGTTTTGTTTTGTTTTTGTTTTTGTTTATTGCATTTTGTTTATTGTATTTTGTTTATTGTTTTTGTTTATTTTGTTTATTGTATTGTTATACATTGATTTATAACATTGTATAAATTTCAGGTGTACATCATTATACTTCTATTTCTGCATAGTTACCATTTTTTTTAAAGCTATGTGCAAGTATCACTTTGATAAACATTTAGAAAAGAATATTAGCAAAAACAACCCCCCCCAAACCCCCCTGAAAGCTACTCATTGCTATCATTAGCATTTTAAACAATTGTCTGGAAAGCAGTAAACAGTAACTGTTTTGTATGACAGCTAATGGCATCATAGGGACAAGCTTCAGGGGAATTGCTTCCTAGAATCTCAAAACTGAAAGATATCTTAAACTCACAAATATGAAGGAATACAGAATTTCAAGTAATTGTGAAATGGTGTTATTTGCTAACTATATGACCACAAAATTCATTTAGGGAGAAGCTCATAGTTAAGTTGGAGACAACACCCAACCAGAAGAGGGCAGAGTCGAATTCAACTCCGAAGCCTGGGAGTGCAGGCAAATTGACAAAGCAGGCAGCTGAGGTGGGTATCAGGAGAATTCTTAGTGTGGCGACTTCTTCTCTGTGTACATGCTGTGTGTTACTTTATTGAGACTGTGTGGCAGGTTGAACTGCATGCTGACTTAGGTTGTTGGTTATGCCTTTTAAATTTTTTAAAAACAGCTTTATTGTGCTGTTTATTGAGCTTTATTGAGGTATAGCTGACATACCTGTTAACTAACATACAATGAACTGCACATGTTTACACAACTGGATATGTTTCGACATATGTCTACACCTGTGAAGCCACCCCACAATCAATACAATGCACATCTCCATCACTCCCCAAACTTTCTTTGCTCCCCTTTGTAAATTCCTCCCTCTTCCCATCCCGCCCCCATCCCCAGACCACTGAAATGAAGAGATTGGACCCAGTGTTGTTGAAGGTGTCTTCTAGGAGTGGTTTTAGTGCGGTATGATTCTAGGTGCTCAGGGTCTGCTGGAGAACTTGATGATCCCAGTTACTGCTGAGTTCACTGTGACTCTCTGCCTTGTACTCATTTAAAGGGGGCAAGTCTCTTGATCTCTTTAGTAAAACAATAATCCTGACAGTCAAAGGTTTTTATTTCTCATTACATGATAGAAGAGTAACGTGCCAACTGAGTTGGTCTCAACTGTATTGTTCAGGAATATGGAGGTGTCAATGATTACAACATTATTACCGGCCAATGAATTATCAAGCCCAAACACCGATAACAATTTCAGCTTTTCCTTGAAGGGCATTTTCACAGGACTCTACAGTAATTTCTAGAATGTTTCCAGACCATTTTGTTAAAATGCTATCCTGACTGATTTATATTGACAGAGAACAGAACAAGTTGGTAACAGTTACGAATATTCAGGGAGCCTCCATGATGCACAACGTAACAAGGATGATATTCTTGTAAATGTTTTCAATTTAATACTTTATCAAGTCAAATTCTTTAGCAAGCTTCATGATGCAGAAAGTTACTGCTGCCTCTGTAGCTGCCGGGTGGCCATTGCCTTCAACACTTTAGGAGACTCCTTTTAAACAGAAATTTATAAAGACTTGCATTTTAAAAGGCCGGCCTGGTGGTGCAAGTGGTTAAGTGTGCGCGCTCCGCTGTGGCGGCCTGGGGTTCGCCGGTTCAGATCCCTGGCGTGCACCGACTCACCGCTTGTTAAGCCATGCTGTGGCGGCGTCTCATATAAAGTAGAGGAAGATGGGTACGAATGTTAGCCCAGGGCCAGTCTTCCTCAGCAAAAAAGAGGAGGATTGGCATTGGATGTTAGCTCTGGGTTGGTCCTGCTCACACACACACACAAAAGAACAACAACAACAAAAAAGACTTGCATTTTAAGATTAGGCTCTGGAATCACATTTGATGACGTTATAAGCAAAAAACAGGTCTGTAGGACTTAATGTTACTGGCAAAAAGATAGTAAGAGATGAATAAGATTTTACTCATGATACCCGAACCTCTTAATCTCAAATTCATGTGCCTGATGTGCAATAAGCTAGTCACTGAGACACCAGTGCTTGGAGATGGAGAAAGTTTTATTCAAATTGGCCAAAAGGAGAAGGAGGGAGGGTAGGTTCTCTCAAATCCACCTTAATGAAAGAAGAAAGCAGGGAGTCTTTATAGAGCCAAGGGGCTTGGGAGGAGGAGTTTCAGAGAAACAAGGGGAAATCTACGTTTCTTTCACTCCAGATAAGCCCTTGGGCAATCAGACTTCTGGGCGTCAGCAGTAGCTGGGGGCTGGTTATCTGGTGGTCATAATTTCCTTAAAGGCATTCTTTTTCTTCTGCAAAACAAGCTCATAAATCCTTGTGACCTTTGAGTCATCCCCCGGGTTAAACAAGAAAACAACAAATTAACAAGATTAACTTCTTTTCATCTGTGTCTGTGTTGGGAACAAGGTGGAAGGGTAATCATGTTCTTATTGAATATTTACAGTAACGCTCAGGTACCCAATTTCACTTAATACAGCAGAATAAAAAGTATATAGCATTGTTTCTCTACAGATTTTTGTCCAGCAGAGATCTGGGAGGATGTTCTTGTCCTTGCCCTCAAGGTCCTCACAGACAATTTGGGGAAATAGGAAGAAGATAAGAATTTACATTACAATGTGATAAGCGTGATCATCACCAACTGCCCCTATGAAACTTTGTATAACGTTAATACATGGTTTCCTTCACTTTTCCCTGCTTTAGAGAGTTAGGACAAAAACCTGCCATGTCTCACTTCAAGCTGTTCTTTTTCATCTTAACCTGATCCAGGTCTGTGCATGTATCTTTGATGGACTCATTTACTTTTTACCTCTCTAATGTCGCCTGTTCTCTCATGCTGTTTTGAGGTTCTGGATGCATTCCTTCTATCATTTGATTCCTCTTTCTGCTGCTTTCACCAAGCCATGTACGTATCCTTTAAAATACATAGAATTACTTACCGCTTTATGTTACAGAGGCGAATTAATGCCAAGATAGTACAGATGAAATAAATGCATCTTGAGGTCCTAGTGCATGAGGAATGCCAGCTCTTTTCCTCAAAAGAGGCCTTAGAGATTGCTGGCCATGGACACAGGTCCCCCCTCAGCCTGCCCACATTCTCTCCTTTTTTATTAGTATTCTCTACATCCATATATCATCTCCAAATTCACCTTGTATCATCCCCTCCCCCTGCTCACTCTGTACCAGCCATCCCAGCCTCCTTTCTGTACATCTGATGAACGCCAGTCTTTCCTTCCTCAGGGCCTTTGCACTTACCAGATTGCTAGGACAGCTCTTCCCTTGTTTTTCAAATCCACCCCTTTTGTGTTGTTATGGACTGAGTGTATGTGTGTTCCTCCCCACCCCCAATTGATATGTTGAAGCCCAAATCCCCAGTATGTCTGTATTTGGAGTCAGTAGTAATTAAGGTTAATTGAGATCATAAGGGTGGAGCCCTGATTCAATAGAATTGGATTATTGCCCTTATAGGAAGAGACACCAGAGAGCTTGCTCTCTCTCTCTCCACACACGAAGAAATAGTCACATGAGCATACAGTGAGATAGCGGCTGCCTACAAGCCAAGAGGAGGCCTCAGAATGAAACCTACTGAGCAGGCTCCTTTATCTTGGACCTCCAGCATCCAGAACTGTGAGAAAATAAATTTCTATTAAGACACCCAGTCTGTAGCATTTTGTATGGCAGGCCCAGCAGACTAATACACATCTACTCTTGGGAAAGGCCCACCCTGACCTCTCTATCCGAAGATTGACTCCTCTTCAGTGCTCTTGATCTTGGCCTCTCCTACTTTTCCTAGACCTTTTTGTTGCTGATTAATCCTCTTTGTCTGACATCTCTGACATCTCCCCTCTGCTGGAGCCCCACCCCTAGAATTTACACATGCCGTTGATGCCAAGCAATGGGCTCCCTCTGCTTACTGCAATCTGAGCCAATTAATTACAATGAGTTAGGGATCAAGAAAGGAAGTTTTAATTCGATTAGCTGGCAAAACTGGGAAGATGGCAGAGTAATGTCTCAAAAAAAAAAAAAAACAAAAACCATCTTCAAGGATTACCTTGAAGCAGTTATATAGCAAAAACGGGCAGTGATTAGGAGATCCAGGGATGTTGGTCTCCAGGCATTACAGGCTCCAGGCATCACATTGTTCCATTCTTCTGTCAGCTGTGATGGATACCTTGTAGGTGTGTTTCCTGCCTATGGTCACCCTCTTCCTGGAGAGAAACTTTTGGAACAAAGTTTTAATTTATCAAGCTATCGGGGAGTACATACTTAAGTGGAGACCATAAATCAGGAGAGCATGTGAATTTTTTTGGAGTATGTGCAGAGCAGCGAGTAGTCACACAGAGGAGGGGCTGGGGCCATTTAGCATAACAAGATGGAGTCACTTATGCTCACTGTTGTCTTTCCTGGCTTGAAAATGCCCTCCTTTAACCCCTTGCTTCTCTGCATTTCCCACTTTATGCCTCTCCTCCCTTTCACAACCAGCATCTTGAAAGAGTTGTCTGCCCTCATTATCTCCAGCTTCTCACTTCTCATTTCCTATCCGGCTCACGCCAGAAAGGCCTCCACCTCCACCATGGTGCCTTTCTTCTTCTACAGCTTCATCCCCACTCAGTGTCCTTCAGCCACACTAAACTCTCCCACTCAAGCATCTTTGTGCTGCCCCCTGCCCGGAATGATCCTCCAGATCTTCATATAATTTTCTTCTTCTTGCCTCTAAGTTCTCAGCCTAAGTCTGCCTTCTTCCTAGAGCTCTCTCCTGAACTTGTGACCCAGAGTCGCTTCACAGTCACCCTCCGCCACACCACTGTTTTAGTTGGGTGATAGCACTTTTTTATGACCTGATGAATTCTTGTTCATTTATTTGTCTGTTTCCTCTCATTAGAATCTAAAATATATGAGAGGAGGCACGTTTCTTCTTTGTTGACTGATCCCAGTTGTCTATAACGGTACTTGGCAAATAGTACACACTCAGTAAATATTTGTTGAGGAAATGAGTACGTGAACAAACAATTTTTGTCATAATTAATAGAAAACCAGCTTTAACTACTATAAGTCAAAAGACATATTTTTGTTGGAAGGTTACTGGGATAACTGAGGCTCAGGGAGGACTCACTATAGGAACCTGGGCAGCTCTGGGTTCTTTAGAGACTGGGACCAGGATCTGGGCCCTGACACCATCAGGGGACTCTCTCTGTCTGCCCACTTCTCCTCTTGGCTTCTTCCAGGTCGATGGACTCATTTGCCTCTACGTCAAACAGCTTCCTCCATGGGGTTTGGGGAAGGGAGGCCCAGCTTAGCAACCCCAGAGAAAATAGAGAGAGCATCTCTTCCCTTGCTTTATATGTAAAAATCCAAGGGAAGGACTTCAATTGGTCCAGGTTGACAAGGGTGCCATGATTGGCATCCCCATTAGAATCACATGGATGAGGGGAAGGGCGAAATTACCCAAAAGAAAATGAGAGGGCTATTATCAGAAGAATCCAAAGCATCTACCATGGCTACAACGTATA